TGGTGTTGGTGTCTAGTGGTGGTGGTGGTGTTGGTGTCTAGTGGTGGTGGTGGTGTTGGTGTCTAGTGGTGGTGGTGGTGTTGGTGTCTAGTGGTTGAGGTGTGAGTTAGATAAAAAGGGTTCGTTTTTCAATGCATTTTATTCAATTTCAGATTGATGTAGCATATGACGATGCAGTCACCAACATCCAGGCAAATCTAACGATTATTGAGAAGCTACAGCGAGACCATCCACCATCTGAACAAACCATCAACTCTCTGGAAAAAATGCGATTTAGTATTGAGCGTATTTTGAGCGACTATCGTTCAAACATCCACATGTAGACCGAATCAATTTACCATTTCAGATCACGTGTCATTCCCTTGGGTATTATTTTCTTATTCACTGGTAATGTTTCTGAGGATGTATGCTAAATGGTTGTGACTCAAACGAAGAATCATATTTTCGAGGGAATGACACTTGGCCTACAACGGAAATATTATGCCCAAGTTAATTGTTTCCATATCATAGGACTGAAAACACTCGTTGGATATACAGAGATGCTAATATAACTGACGTGTATAACATGTTAGAACATGGCATCATCATATTATCAGACAAATTTTTCAAAAAACATAAGTCGAAAATGCAGTCATATGTTTTTCATCAGCAGAGTATTTCAATGTTACAGTATGAAAGAGCTACGCGAGCGTTATAACAACACATTTTGGTCATGTGGTCGAAATCCCCCACCACACCCCACCCCTCCTGAGCATTTTCATTATCATTGTCAAAACACGTCTGCTATAAGCCTAATAGCTTCAATAGCCTAATAACTATAAACATCTATTTAAGCCTTTTGCGTTTGGTTTTTAAGCTTGTTTAGAGTATAATATAGCTCTGCCCGCAGACGCGCAAATGTTCTTATTCGCTTTTACTAGCTTYGTTTATATAATTGTTTTAACATTTGTTAAAGTTTCTACCGTTATTTATTTCGATGTAATTGAAAATAAAGAAATTGTTTATCAATTGTTTGTTTCACACAAAGTATATCGATACTTTTGATAATTTTTCGCAAATTTACGAAAGTGCTCGTACAAGTCCTGTAAATTTTCTTTCCTGTACTTTTTCTTCATGACCGGATTTGCTGCCCAAAATTTTAAATTGTTTCAGGTGGAATCAAAATTCGTTTAGGACTTTTCTCTCTTCACTTCACAACTTAAAAGCTTTAATTAATTACGTCAGAATGCAATGTGCATAAATTATCTAATTTTGGGCGCGCGCTTCGTTCATCACTAGAGAAATTTTCGCATTAAGTAAATTATGTAATCTGCGGGAAGTAAAAGAGATGGTAGAAAAATAATTCCTGCGACAATGCGTCATGGGATGTGCCCCAAGTTATCCAATATCGACAAGTCCTATATTGTTTAATCCAATATATCTCTTCGAAGCAACAGGTATGTATGGATTTCAGTAGTCCACGTTTGAATACCGCTACTTTTATTCTTGATTTCTTCACTAATAAGCACGAAAATTTACGATACTATATGGGAAATAGCGGGAAGGCGATGTCCAGTTATTCCCGCGATAGATAGGATGTGTCCAGCGTCCACGTGAGTTCGAAAACGCGCCCGCAGAATTTTCCTGGAAAAGATCAGTCTAGTGAAAGTCGGCGTAGATATTGGAAAATGACGGGAAAATAGTACGCGCTTCGTATTCGAGCATACTCTATTAGTTTTTGACATGGTTTTGTTCTGCCATTCAAACTAATGACGGAACAACTCATGACATTATGACTAACAGGTCATCGAAGGAAGAATATTCGCGAACTCGATGACACAGAATTTAAGAGAATTCAAGCTCAATATTGGAGTAAACTAATCGAAGAAAGAAAGAAAATGGCTTTGAATAGAAGAAAGTTCCAAGGTAAGTCAATGCTCTTATTAGTTTCGTAAACAAGCGAGGTCGTCACTCAGAAATGCATACACCAGACTAATCAATGCGCGAGAAAAAATCACTGATTCAATCGAATTTCAAATMATTTATATTATTTTCCAGAAATGGGTGAAAAAGACTTCCAAACGTTGGCCGAAGAGTTTCCCAAATTTGACATGTCAGACATATTAGATTTGAGACTTCAATTCCAAACTTTTGACATCAACCAGGATGGGATTATTGATTTTAACGAACTGTAAGTACCTACAAATTTTTACTAGCTGCTCTGACCCTGGACGATGGGACTAGGTAGTTCCCACACTCAAACTCTTTATAGAGTCAGGGCAATCTCGAGCTCGTACCCAGAGTCTTTATTTTTACTGCGCATGCTCGACGAAATTTTGTCGAGCATGCGCAGTAAGAAATAAAAGCTCTGTGTACGAGATTGGGATCAGGGCTCAAAAATATAATTTTTCAGAAATAGAAATATACATTTTGCATTGGTTGTATCAGATTTGGCTATACGTATGCGGTTTTTATTATTATAAAGACTAATTATCGGCATTACGAGGTGCATGCATTTGTAGCAAAAATGTGAAAATCTATGGCGATTAAATCAGACAGTTATCTGGGCGGTGTTTCCGTACGCGCTGCTCATCATCGGAGAGTGCGCAAGTCTAGTCGGCATCTGTTCGTGTATGATATCTTAGCGGGTTTCTTCGTTTCGTAGCATGCAGGTCCTCGACGATTTAGGAGACAACTCTGATGAAAAAATAAGGGAGGAATACTTTCARCAAATAGACGTGGATGGATCAGGAGCTATCGACTTCGAGGAGTTCCTAGGGGTAAGTCAAAACATTTTAGCAGTTTTCAAGTGTTATTTCTTATTACCTCTCTTTTCCCCTGACCACACTTCTATTTATTTAGTAGAATCGGTTTGTCGAACGAAAAAAAACTACGACTGCGCTAAAAACCGCGTGACAAAAAACGACCTCGAGATAATTGTGGTAAAATCTAGTATCAAAATGCAACCCACATGGAAAGAAGTGAGTATGCGTTCAAAGCCATCAGCATCACAATTAAAATTTCGAGTATGCTGGTCATAGCAAGGGGTTAATCATCTACGGTCTAGGGGACGACTAACCTTTCCCTTAGGCTTCGGCCGAGCTTTCTGATCAGACTGTAATTCTCCGGATAGCGGTGTCGGGGTCGAAATTTCCGGCGTAGCCGTAAATGCTTCGCGCTGCCATACGGCGGTTCAGCACTCGATGTCTGGAAGTATGGTCCTGGTTAAATCGATTAAAAAATCAATTTGAAAGGACAAGAGAAATCATAACTGTGGAAGCGCGCATCAAGTGTGGTCAGGAGAAACTTCTTGATCTGGAAACATTTATATGATGCCCTGAGTTAGATAGGTTGTTTCAGGGTTTGATCTGTGAGTTAGCCATGCCCTGACTTAATTAGATCAGCCCAGAGGTTGTTTCGGGGTTGGATCTGTGAGTTAGCCATGACCTGACTTAGATCAGCCCAGAGGTTGTTTCAGGGTTCAATAAAATGAAAGATTTCTTTTTCAGCTGATTCATAAGCTAAGAAGCGAAACCGAAGATGAGTTTGGTAAACTGGGAAGTCTATGCAGAAGAGGAACGGATAACATCCAAAGAGTSAGACAACTTAGCGTAACTGAACAAATGCAAACTGGTCTTTTTTAGTTATTTTATCTGGGAAAAAGCAAGAATACTGAAAAATAAGCGTACTAAATCAACTCATTCTGGACTACTTTGYAAACATGTACTTGTGTGACGATTGATGTGGCTGCAAATGAAAATGCTCTGAAAAGATCTGCATTATTTGATGATTTATTTCATTGTGAATACTTGGCTTATTTAAACTTGTATTCCGCTAGAGACATACAGAGTTCAAGTTTATTTATTGCCAATCGATAAAACCTCAATAAAAAATGATGGGAATATTTCACAAAAATACTAGAGTGCATTCACTGCAAAACAGTACTAAATTGAATCTGCACTAAATTGTAGAAAATAGTGCTAGTTTATTAGAATGAAGGCATTTAATCCGTGAACTAAAAAATGTCAGTCAACCTGTAATAGTCAAATAGACACAATAGAAAGCAATGGAATTAGGGCCTACCAATTAGCAATTAGTCCTCAAGAAGGAATGGGCTGAGGGCTATTGACTCATAGGCCAAGAGGGCAAGAGGACTGATTGTTTTAGTCAAATCCAAGTAGACGGTCAAATATTTAGATGCAAACAAGTCTTGAAATAAATCATTTTGTTGGCACTTTTCGCTACTAGTAGGCTTTGACTAGTAGCTCATCCAATCAGAATGCAGAATTGGTGATAGATCACTAGTTGGATTTGAATAATGTGTATTAGTCTACGGGTKTAGTGACTTCACTCTATTGCTGCTTATGGGATATAGTGTTTGAACTATAACCCCTATCTAACCTATACATTATTCTACAGTAAACCAGGTAAGGAATATTTACAATATGTTTAAAAAGACCCTTAGTGTTCTCCTGAAAGTTCCATTGACATCTTTCTATCTTTAGCCTGTTTTTCTATATTGGTGTAGTATCTCAGCTTTATGAGGGCATCTTTGGCTGCAATGTAGTTCCCTGGAAAACAGATATAAAATACATCAGTTATTGAAGAATTCACAGGAAGTCCAACTTAAATGAAAGTGGACAGCATAAGGGAAATATATAGGAAATCAAAGGAATAAGAAAAAATAATTATGTACTTATTGACTGAGTGGGAGGGCTGGACATGAAAATATTTGGTTCAAGGCTATGTTGTAAAAAAAGCCTGAAAGATCCTGCTAAAACAATTGATAAATACAGTGTGCATAAACTGAGGAGGGCCGGACTGGTTTTTCTGGCTTGCTCACTCAAACCCGTCTGGCCCCCTTCACAACTTTTTCCAAATGTATCATTAGATCAATTAATTAAGGGAATTATTTTTGATTTTTTGTTCGAATAAGGTGGTGCTTTAAAACGCAGAATCCACATAGCCTTCCTAAAAGTCCATAATAATTATGAATGGTCTGCAAATCAACAGTGATGTCAATCAATGATTATCAAGAATATGGATGTATTTACCTTCATCAAATGCATGTGCAACTTCATCTGTGCTCTTCTTTATGCACACTGCAAAAAATGTTACCAAATCATAAATGTAAGCCCTGTGGTGGGTTGAAATATGTGGTCCCCATCCATGTGGTGTGCTTCCCGACATCCTTATCTTGAATTAGGCTCTGACTGGTTCAAGTATTGCTAACCAGCCAATGAAAGAGCATGTAAGAATGTGTGTAGGGATTAACCAATCACAACTTAGTGCATATATCTAGGTACATTGCTGGGGGTCTAGAACAAGAAATGTCACTGATTCACAGAAAAACATAACCAACAAGTTTGGGTTCGGATGCACGCAAGCTAAGATACTCCCACTCTAAAGGAAAAGGAGAAAAGGAGCTTACATTTGATTTCTGTTTCAATATCTTGTAGAGTTTGTAATTTGGCTGCACTCTCAAGCCGTTCATTGATTTCCATGATCTCCATCAAAAACTCCTGGCTTGAGAGTGAATCTTCTTCTTCTATGGATATGCCATGGATACTTAACTATGAAAAGAAAATACTTATTTAACATGTATGCATGTGTATTGGTTTGAAAATGGTAAATTTGCCCCTCTTCCCTCCCTCCCCTATGACCAAAACCTGACCACGCCCCTGTCCCCTCACCCTAAAATGTGTGTCTGGCATTCTTGCTACACTATTGTTAGTCAGGTTTAATGTCATTCATTTTTCCTTTCAATCCTTACCAGATAAATCCCTCTCTTTAGAGGATTTAGAAGTGTGTTGTATGCCTTGTTTACTAGTGATGACTGAATGGCTGACAGGTTTTGTTCCTCCTGAAACCACAAAATGTCTTACTATGAGTTTCATATATCATAATGTATGGCAGAAGGGGGGCAGGTGAAATTGAGGGGGGATCAGGAAAATTTTGGTAGGAAAAAGGGGGGGATGGGCAAATTTTTATCAGAAAAATGGGGGGATGCACAATATTTGGAAGAAGCTACAAGCCTTGCTTAGGGGGGGATCGTATTTTTTTGCATGACTTTAAGGAGGGGTGTTAAGAATTATTCTGGACATTTCAAATTTCCACCTGCCTCCACCTCTGCCATACATTATGAACGCAGCCTAAGTCAGGTAATTATAAGTTATAGCGTTACTCAATGATAGAATATAGTACACAGTCATGGAATCATAATCGTGAAGGTATTGATGGACATCAATCAAGACATTTTTGTGACATTCCATAGACAGTACTATAAGAATAAATGCCACCCACAATATTCCATAATTTAGAAGCATTGCCAGGATTTTTCCAAGGGTAGGTGCATAAATACAAGAGCAGTATCTCACTTGTGTACACTTGCTGAATCTGTCTGGATGCAGTTTGAATTGCAGCTGTCTGTAAACATCACTTAGCTGTGTCGTATTGATATCAAATGTCTCTGGGCTGTGTAAGAAAAGATATMTATCTGGATTATCAATGGTACCATCACCATCCCTGTCAGCATTCATCATCATCATCATGAACATTACATCAGGCATTATCATCATCACAATAAGCAAGATCATTGCCATCATATCATCACTATCATCCGTCATCTTCACCATCATCATCACAATCACCATATTAGCCATTAACACCACCATGTACCACTATCATCATCGTTATCATCACTACCATCATCGTTATAATCATCAATATCTTCACTAACATCTGCATACCAAATGGTCACCCATTCACAAATATAACTTCTATACCAAATGGATCAAAATACCAATTTATCACGAACCTGCTAAATAATTCAAAATAAGTGGCGTCTTTTTCTGGGGCTTGGATAACTTCACATTCACGACAGAAAAACTTGGAATGTCCACACGTTGATAATTCTGCATCACACTTCCAACATCTCGGCGGATTTTCCGCACAGCACTCTTTAGTACAACCCCCAAATAACCTTACATATCCTAGGATTGGCCTTTGCTGACTGAGAGGCAATCTTGTAATCGTTCTTCTGGCTAGAACTCTTGGGGAAAGTGAAAGACATTGGCGGCAAAGTGTGGCTACTACTCGAGCAGCCATGTTGTAATCAGAGGTCGCAAAGGTCCAAATTACGTCTTGTCTAAAAATAAAAATAAAATCCAGTAAAAATATCAATATATAGCAACAGAAATATATTGTAGAATGAATAAGGTTAGTTTTCGTACCATAAAAGCAGTTCTTTCTCTAAAAATGAGGCTCAAAATAAAGTATGATCAAGTGCAAGTTCTCGTGCAGTAGACTAAAGAAAAGCATTGGTCTTCCTGTGGTTACTCTTTGCCTGGTCCACAGCAGGTCCAAAGTCTAGAAAAGTCGCACGAAGTACTCAAAATGTCGGCCAGGTTTATTGTGAGATTTGGCCGGCAATTTTCACCCTTTTTGAAAGGACACCCGAAGTTAAATCTTTGTACTACTAAAGTTCAACATGGGAAGAACATGTCTATATTGGCAGGTCTGCCAGAAACCCATGAAATGTTGCGTAAAACTTGCGCGGATTTCGCGGACAATGAACTAAAACCGATAGCAGGAATGGTGGACAAGGAGCATAAATATCCACGAGAACAGGTCTGTTTGTTCTCTCTCTTTCTCTATATGAAATGGGCTCTTTGTTAATACAATTTTTTAAATTTTAGTCAAGCACGATTATATCATGTCTGGGTGAATTTTAGGGGATTACAGTACATTATTACATAAGCTAAAGAAATGGCAGACCTTTTGGAAAAAAGGTTTTTTCAATGAAGAACCACAAGAAACAAAAAAAATCTCAGAGAAAAGTTGTAAAGTAAAGTGAAAAAAAGCCTTGTTTTGGCTCCCTTGTTTGTTGTTGGCTCCACAAACTATTGCAATTGCACAACAGCGGCGTATTTAGAGAAGGGTCCTAGGGTGCCTGTAACCAACATATCTTAATGAGACAGGACCACTATTTTTACATTTTATGAGATTCTCTGAGGAACTGCAAAAGTCCAACTATTCGCAGAAATTTTAGAGCAAAGTTAGCATTTTCTACACAGATGTTTTAAGATCCTGAGTGTTGGTCTGGTCGCAGGCTTGAACCCAGAACCTCCTGGCCAACAGGCAAATGCCCAGCCAATGTACTGTACCAACTGTTTATTGTAATCTTTGCTGCAGGTCAAAATGCTTGGTGAACTAGGTCTCCTGGCTGTTGAAGTTCCAGAATCCCTTGGTGGTACAGGAATGGATACTCTGGCTTATGCAATAGCAATGGAGGAAATCAGTAGAGGTTGCGCAACAGCAGGCGTCATCATGAGTGTTAATAATGTAAGATATATTACACCCTCAGTATGTCAATCATATGAACCTGTCTCATATGGTAGCCATAATGTTTTCGGCAATAGATTTTCTGAGCTAATCCTCAGATTCATGTGTTTCAAGCTGCAATAGTGCTCTCACCTCTCACCTCTGGGATCTCAGGTTTGATCAGAGCTTGTTAGGTCTCTTCCTTGATTGGAGAGTTTTTCAGGTTCTCTGGGTTAATTCCTTCTCGCTCAGCTAAACCTCACAAGGTAAACTCCAATCAGATCCGTGAGTTAACTGTGCCCTGACTTCAGATCGACCCAGAGGTCATATAAGTGTTTTGAGGGTTTGAAGCTTATGTTGATATTTTGTATCTAAATTTTTGGGAATAATCAAAGTTCCAGGGAGAGGGGGGCAATCTTCTTAATTTGCAATGTCAATCCTATGAAAAATCTTTAATCAGAGAGTAAACCTGGCTTATTTTTCATCATAGTCGCTATACCTTGGCCCACTGCTAAAAAATGCAACAGAGGAGCAGAAAGAAAAGTGGATCAAACCCTTTGTCAATGGTGACCGTGTTGGATGTTTTGGACTCAGTGAACCAGGTATTGCCTCAGTGAAATTATTTTGTTGATAATATATAAAGATTTAAACTAGTGTTAAAGTGAGTCTCATTATGGGGGATCTGTCTAATCTTCTATATGTAAAGTCCTACTATGGACTAAGATCTATTGGATTCTATTTAGATAATGGCAGTGATGCAGGTGCGGCCAAGACGACAGCCGTACTGGATGGCGATCATTACATCCTTAATGGTACTAAAGCATGGATAACCAATGGCTATGAAGCAGAAGCAGCTGTGGTAAGGCAATTTAGATTAGTGTGTAAATGTAGATGTACTACAATGTAACCTCCAGGGCCCAGTTGTACGAATCCTGGATAGTGCTATCTGGTGGATAAATCCTTATCCATTGGATATCCAATAAATTTATCCACTGGATAAGATTTATCCATGGGATAGCGCTATCCAGGCTTCGTACAACTGGGCCCAGATATTTGGAGGCAACTGAATTGYACAAATTTTAAAATTGACAAAAAGATATCTAACATCACACACTTGATTTGTTTGACTTGTAGGTTTTTGCCACAACAGACAGATCACTAAAACACAAGGTAAACTGTTGGATTGAGTAAAGTAAAAGTAGTAAACATTAAGAGATGTAACCTCCTTTTTTAACTTACACCATATTTTCTTCTGCTACTTGCAGTCCCATATTGCTTAGTGTTCCTGTTTAATATACTGGTACATAGAACAAGAAGATAAATGTTTCTTTGGGTGTACAGCCTTTAAATATTAATTCTTACAATAACTTACAAATTTCTCACGCGTTGCTTGGTTATTTTTTATCATCAATAAGAGGACAGACAGATAAAGCTGACGTCAACGAGCGCACGATCTTTCAGGTGGTTGTTTTGATTGCTAAAAATGAGAAGTTTTTATCGTTTTTGTTATTGTAAAAAACAAATAGACATMAGTTTTTTGTGTGTCTGTCCTCTTATTGATGATAAATTTCATTCTCACATTGTCAAAGTAGTATGCAGATCACACTACTTTGAGAATGTGATGACACAATTTATCATCAATAAGAGGACAGACACACAAAAAACTGATTGACATCATTTTATTTCCAGGGTATTAGTGCTTTTGTCATTCCAAAGCCTTGTGAAGGTCTATCGTTAGGAAAGAAAGAAGACAAACTTGGCATAAGAGGTTCTTCTACTTGTTATTTAATATTTGAAGACTGTAAAATTCCTAAAGAAAACTTACTAGGAGAGCCAGGCAGAGGGTTCAAGATTGCCATGGTATGTATACATGCAGGGAAATACGAGTGACAATCTATTTATCATCACTTGTGAGTAGAGTTAATTAGGTCTCTCCTGATTCAATGCTTTTTACCTGGGTTCTCAAGTTTAATTTCCTCTGCACCAAACACATTAAATTCCAATTCAATCTGAGAGTTAGCAGTAGCCTGACTTTTATTAGCTCATTGGCTGTTTTAGGGTTTGATCTGTGAGTTAGCTTTGGCCCAGCTCTAGGCTATTTCAGGGTATGGATAAAAGAAATTGAAGGTTGAAGGAAACATGTTTTGGAATCTCATCATGGCTGAATTTAGTTGTAGTATACTATAGGAGAGATAACTAATTCTCATGGTATGCAATGATATATCCCTTGAATTTGTCATTTTCTCTCATATAAGAAAATTAATAAAAAACTTGTTACGGTTTGAAGGAAACATTAGATGCTGGTCGTATAGGGATAGCAGGACAAGCTCTTGGAATTGCACAGGTAATGTAATATTATAACCAATAATTAGGTTTGACTCATTTGAAGTTTGACATTTGACCTGAGCCTAAGTCTTACTTTTTGCTTTGAACAAACTTTTAGGCAGCCTTTGACTGTGCCATAGAATATGCTGAGAAAAGGGAGTCTTTTAACCAGAAGATCAGTCAACTACAATCAATTCAGGTATTAAAAGATTTTGTTGCAATAGACCATCCGCATTACGTACTATCACTACCAGAATCCCTTGCACACTTTCTTTGCCTCCTTGCTAGCCTTTAGCTTGCTAAGCCTGAGGGCAAGCTACCTATAGCTTGCAGTATTTCCTAATAATATTGTTCTTGATCTTGAAGATGAAGCTTGCCGACATGGCAACGAGAATAGAGAGTGCAAGGCTATTAACATGGAAAGCTGCTGCCTTGAAAGATGCGGGAAAGAACTTCACTAAGGTATAAATGATGAACATAGCTATATGCATGTCAAGCAGGCCCATCGTTAGTGGTGGTATGATGGTTCGAACCAATCCCTTCACCCCCTCTCCTTTATAGGAATTTAATGCTATCTTAGTTTTTCAAGAAATGGCATAACTGAGATTGGTAAGATCTCTGCTTTCAAGTTCCTAGTGATGGGCCTGCCGAGGGATTTGTTTGCTATTAATATTTGAACCCTGTTATGATTATTGCATGTTGAAAAATGTTATGCAAGTTTAATTGTTTTCTTAATCTGTGAACCAGGAAGCAGCCATGGCTAAACTAGAAACATCAGAGGTGGCAACATTTGTCTCACATCAGGTAAATAAAGTATCTTTCATGTAACTAAACTGACAGTTCAGTCTTTTCTATACTCCCTTGATTARACTATTGGGTATCCCAGTGTACGTGGTTCCCATCATAACGAAATCATTCAACATATTCCTTTGCCTGTAAAGTCGACACAATAAATACTTTTAGGCTTGATGATGCTTTCCGTTAACAGACCATGTGTCATTCCCTTGAGTTTCATTCCTTTGTTTAACGGTCGTGCATGAGAAGACACATGAATATGGATACAACTCAAACAAAGAATCCAGTTCTCAAGAGAATCACACATGATCTGAAATGGTTAAACATTATGCACAAGGTAAAAGGGTCTGTTGTGGCCCTTCCAATGTCTTTTAGTTGGAAGGGGTGTGATCACCATTTATCTAGRATTCCAATGTGAGGGGAGGTAATGGGGTAGGGTGTGGTGACCCCCTCCCCAACAAACAAGGGGTGCTTAATGGTATTTTAGCCCCCTAATATTAGTGTAATTGCTTTCCCATTTCCCCTAAACAACTCTGCTCTGGCAGCTCCTGTGTGTAGGTAATAACTCTATACACAACCATTAAACTCAGAGTCTCTTAAAAACTATTTCCAGTGCATTCAAATCCTTGGAGGGATGGGCTATGTAACTGACATGCCAGCAGAACGCCACTACAGAGATGCAAGGATAACAGAAATATACGAGGGGACAAGTGAAATTCAAAGACTCGTTATAGCAGGCYGGCTTCTAAAGGAGTATGCCCAGTGACATTCCTTCTCATGGAACAAGACCTTTTTAATTCAAAACTATTTATTAACATGTCAGAACAGATCAGAAAGGATACTGATGATACTGGATACTAAATTCAATTTTGGTCACTGGCTTTATATCGGAGTACAGTTTCTTAATGATTTTGGCCATCAAATCAACTGCACTGGATATTTTTGACACACACTATGACAAATGGTTGATCAGGACAGTGTCTTGCAAATATTCCCTTGCATTAAGTCATTGCATTATGTCATACATGGACTGTATAGCGGCTGCCAGAGGCGCCAACACATGCTTTCAGTTCCAGCTGCACAACTGCTCGTACTTTGCTGTGGTGATTAGCAATGAGTTTCTATCCTTTTTTTGCAAGTGCCTTGCAGTTCTGCATTTTCAGGGAGCCTTGATTCTTTCAATTGTGAATTATGAGTATTTTTTAAATTTAGGTCTTAGACTCACACTAACATAAGCCTTACAGTCTCAATAAATCTTGCTTGAACTTGAAAAAGCACCCAGTTCAAAGGGCAGGCTTACATTTGAAAACATAAAGGCTAGTATGTATAATACTTACAGTGGGTGGGGGGGGGGGGGGGGGGAGAGAGGTGTCAAAAAATTGTTGGATATTATTGGTTAAAAAAGAGGGGAGGCTATACATTTCAGCTTCACACCATCCTGTATATGTAGTCTCTGGTTTGCTTTGATTCTCTGTCACTCCTTACTTAAGGGATCCAGTGGTGCATTGTAAGAAAATAGTTCAAAAACCCAGGAAAAGCTAAATGGTTGATGTATGACATGTACATGTTAATGACACTATTTTAAATGAAGTAAAATAAAGATTCTTTATCCTCACTTTTTTATTAAGGAGCAACTTTTTTATTACTACATTTGTAATGATAGCTTAAATAACAGTAAAATGGATGAGAATAGAATTAGACAGGCATCAACGTTAATCCTGCCCTTTCAGGATCATATCTGGTTTGACTCGTTGGACATACTCTGTCCAGGAACCGTCATACAAGATACCATCGGTTTTGCCAGCCAAGAATGCCCCCAGCAACAACCCAGCACCAGTAACCCCAGAACCACAGCTAGTTATCAAAGGCTTGGCAAAATCTGCACCTGCTTCTGTGAACAGCTTTTTCAATTCTTCTGGCTCTTTGAAACACTTTTTTTTAAGGTCCAAACACTTGCCATAGGGAAGGCTCTTGGATTTCGGCATGTGGCCACTTGGGAGGTCTCGGCGTGGCTCTGGTTCCTCGCCAGTGAATCGACCAATGGGACGGGCATCGTACATTTGGACTGGATTATTGGATTCAATGTTCTTCATCATAAAGTCAAAGTCACAAACCAAGTTCTCGTTTACAACAGCTTTGAATGGAGGATTGTCTAAAAAAGAAATAATTAGCAAAAAAAAGATATTACTGAGGTTTTCCATATTTAGCAAAAAGGTGGCAGAGGGGGGTTGGGCGTCATGTTTCACACATCAACATTTCTAAAATTCATACATTCATACATCACGTATGTTAAACCATAGAAACATATGAATGTATTTATAAGTGTATGAATGGTTATTTACAAATCTTGCTCTACATTTTACTATTTCCACATACCGTAAATCCTCTATTTAGCCCCCCCTCTCAAATAAGCCCCCCTCTCTCTAATAAGCCCCCAGCTTTTTAAAGGAAGAAATTTGTTAAGCCCCCCCTCTCTTTTTAGCCCCCTCCCCTCCCCCTTCTCAACTAAAGAATCACATGTTAATGAACCAATGGAACATTAATGATTGTTCAAAACATTTTTAACTAACAAAGGTGAATCAAATAATAAAAATGCCATGTACATCACTACAGATTATGCGAGACGGTCAATAGTAATGCTTCCGTTTAATTCTGAGTTACAATCATATTACATGCTTACAAACCATAGTTAATATTAACTATTAACTATGGTACAACTTACTGCGTTTCGACTAAATCAATAAGCCCCCCCTCTCAATTAAGCCCCCTCTCTCCAAAAAGCCCTCCCTCAAACGGGGGTTGCTAAAATGAAAATTCGGTTTAGCAAATTGGATTTGATTTTCATAGAGTGCAAACAATATAACCATGAAACTTGAGTAATACTAAATAGCACAATTTCATGCAAATTCCATTGTTTTCTATTGTTTAATTAGCACTATTTTGTACTATTTAGTAATTAGTGTTTCACAGATTAATCGATTGCACTCTATATTATTAGCATAGCAAAAAATATTAATGCTATAGCTGCTTCTACTAAGAATTTAGTTTTATAATAGTGAATATTTAAGCATTAATACAAACTGTAAATTTGAAAATTCGTATTTCAAAACGAGGGGGAAGGCGACTGGCTCTTATGTCCCTGTATATGAACACAATTGGACATGCATGGTTTGGTCTCAGATATTATTTTCTTAAAATGTAAATTGTACAAAAGCTTAACAAGCGTGACAATGCAGTTTTATACAGTTTGAAGAACACTGTGTCATACTGATTCCGATCAGGGCCACAATACAAGGTCAAGGGAAACATTGCCAACAGAAACTGGTCCAAACTTTACTAGAAAATTTTCACTTAAGCTCATATTATTCGGGTTTCGACAATTGTACAAAATTGAATGAAGTGAAGTAACAAATATATACAAAACTCGGAAAGAGTTCGAGAAGTATCGTTAAATTAGTGTGATTTTTGAAGAAAATAATTTTGCTTTATCAATGGCATAAATTAATAATATAAATTTAAAATTCGAAAGTTTATCTAGGGCAAATTTGTCCTCTTACATGAGATTAAATGAGTTTGTGTATAATATTTTGAATAGAAATTTTAACATCTGCTCTGATGTATCTTGGGCTCAATAAATACAACATATATAAAGTTTAAAAAGGGTCACAATCTGAATAACCTACAACTCCATTTTGTAAACTTACTCTCAAATGATTCTTCTTTGAGAGGACCACTCTCGGTAGGAAATCCCTCAGCACACCATTTCGGCAGCCCTCCATCCAGAACAGAGACCTTATCGTGTCCAAACAAACGGAAGGTCCACCAGACTCGAGGGGAAGAAAAGACTCCTAACTTCTCGTTATTGTCATACACAACAACATGGCTGTCGTTAGTAATCCCAAGGTTACTCACATACTTGCTGAATTCGTCACTGCTAGGGAGCATGTGTTCGTACTTGCTAGATTTGTCTCTACACTCGTCGATGTCAAAGTATCTTGCTCCCGGGATTCGCTTTTGGTAGAATTCTTTTTCGGGTTCACGCTTGGCACTTGGAAGGAACCAGGACCCATCTAATATACGAAGGTGCTTGACACCTTCTTTAAGCTGCTGCTGTAGCCATGATGCTTGTACTAGTGGACGAACTGCCATGATCAATTCGATCAGAGCAAGCTATTCATCCACACTGTGCCGTGGTTAAAGGAAGCAGGCGTTCCTCGTGATTTAGCCTAATAGTTGGGGGAGGGGGAGGGGGAGGGGAGGAATAGTACAGGTGCAAATCAAAATTTCTCAAAAAATGGTTTCGCGGGAATTTAGTTTAAGCATACTTGACTTAGGGTTAGGTACTAATTTTCAAAAGTCAGCTAAGACTTCTTTACTATATTTGATGCTGCGTTTTGGACCCAGTAAGGCCCGCTTTACGAACAGGTACGGTAGTATGGATTAAATCTTCTACAAACAAGCGCAATGCTGCTGATGTCCATTACATGCAACAATTCAAAGATTAGAGACAAAATAAAGTCAGACAAACGATGTATGTGGATTGTTGCTTTCGATCAGGTTCAACTGACGATGGTGCGCATATGTGCTATAATTTCTTCGAAAAAGTTGTGAACTGTCAAGCCCACAGCAAATAACTGTAACCACAGCGCGCGTTGACGTGAATATAGATATACTACAGCTATGGGTCTTAGACCATGGCTCGCTATGTTTACTCACATTGAATCCTTTGTGCGTGACAAGCGAAGCATATCTCGAAAGTGGTCTATTGATACAGCCATTTCAAAAAAGGTTGGAAAAAAGGCTAGTTTTGTTTTGTTGATTATGAAAAGCATTATATTGATATGCAAGTAATGTGAGGACTGAAGAAAGTACACTGGGAAAACCTGCAAAGTTTGGGAAATTGCTTACTATCAATCACGTGACTTTTTGGAGTTGACTGGGGGGCAAACAAGCGGTTGACTGGGGGGCAACTAGCGAATGCTAAGTCAAAGCGTATCAAAATAAGTCCTCAAGCTATTGTATTTGACTATTTTCACGACRTCAAACCAGAAAACAAGAGATCAAAACAACCTCCAGGATTCTACAAGCCATCAAAAAAGAGCTATTACCGGAAGTGACGTCTATTGATAGCAACCTATTCCATCTTGTTGTGACCTTTCACTCGTTGAATTTACATCATCCATAGTACATTTCAGGCATGGTATTTAACACACGGGCGGATCCAGGATTTTGTTTAGGGAGGGGTGTTGCGCTCAAAGTTAATCCAGGGATGGGTGCACCACTTAGAATCAAAAGGAAAAAACTATTTTGTATTGGTTATCTTTGAAGTAGGGGCACAAAGTTGAACCAGCGAGGGGTGCGCACCCCTTGCACCCCTCCCCTGGGTCCGCCCATGTAACATGCATGCATAGTTGAATAGTGAAATATTTCTTTGGTTGCAACTTTAATGCATGAATGTTTAAAATTCCAGTATGTAAGATATACTGTGATGTGATTTAGGACATTTGAGAAACAAAACTGAGGCTTTTAARAAAAGTATTTCACAAATATCATTATCAATAATAACATCTTTGGATGAGTTAAAATAAGCCTTCTTTAAGTATAATACATAGATTACTTTATATTTGTAGAGTTAATTGAGTTCAGACTTTTCGCCGGTATATAGTAGTTTTTTACACTTGTTTTGAGCAGTACCTGCTTCTAAACTGAATTAGCCTGTGAACATGGCTCTCCGGGGAGGGGACTGGGGAGGGGGGACTGGGGAGGAGGGAGCGTTGCGTGATGACACTAAGAACGGCTGCGGGCGGACTAATAATAATATTAGTAGAATGTATTGTTTCTAATAAAGCTATATACAGTCACACGAGAAAGATGCTAATTTTCCATCTGAATCACCGGCTCGTGCACATGTGCAAATGACCAAGTGAATGCTATCTGATGCAGGTACCCCACGATCTCGCACCGAGAACATTTCCAGGAATGCGACGAACGAGCGCTCACACAGAACCCGTCATTAAGTAAGTCTTTCTCCAAAACAGACGTAAATAAACGACTTTCTGGGATCTCTTCTTCGGGGATGACAAAGTCTACGTTTGGCAAGTCACAGCCAATGTAAAAACTCAAGCGACTGCCGTTCTCGTCCGAGCAGAAAAAGTTATGAGTTGGTTTGCTTTTTTCGGATTCTTCCATGAAGAGGTCGAACTTGTGTTTGCATTTTGTGACCGCGGACAAATAGTCCTTTCTTGAGATATATCTGACTGCAGTGACCATACATTCCTGGCCCACGGAGTACTTCATGACATCTCCGTACTTTTTGCGCGCGGTCTCTATGACCATTTGTTTCCAGTATTCAAAATATTCCCCCATAGAAGACTTCTGGTCTTCGAGCCGAGTTTGTGGTATTACCGAAGGATAGCATTCAAGTTGTTCGACCAGTCTCTCTATCCCGTAGTACTTTGCTTCTTGGTAAACTTGAAGCGCTACTGAAGATGGCGGTAGGAGTGAAGGATCGCGTAGGTAGTTGAGAATATGGCCGAAGTACTGTCCATCACGATCGATGAAGTACTTGCCTTTGTCGTCTACTTCAAGTTGAAATCTTCCACTAAACATGGCAGATAACATGGAGTCGTTGTCGGAGACGAGGGTAGCCAGTCGAGTGGTGAAGAAATGTCCTCCCACGTTGAGTGAAACAATGGATGGAAGCTAAAAATAGAAAAAGATATTTTTAATTAATATCGGTCATAACTTTTTATCCATGTGCAAAACACCATGAATAGTTGAGCGGTGTACGATTTACTGAAAAGACGAGACGATTTGCTAAAATAAGACAAAACTAGATGTTTTCATGAGATTGATTTGAGGGCCAGCCGTGCCTAGAAGCTACGTGTCTTCTTTCAGTCTCGTGCTTCTTGACAAAACTACCTTTTGATTACGAGTAGGGGATTGCGTGAGAAAACCCAGACAATTATGCAAATTTATTTAAGAGTACCATCACGTACTAACTTTCTGTTAACTCTATTGATATTATGATTCAAGAAAACTGAACTGAAACACAAATATCTAGTCGAAAAACGATGGCTTCTGGTCTTATTTTCGTACAAATTCTGTACACTTTGAAACTCAAGTGAATACCAGGATGAGAGCTTGGTCTGTTTTTTGATAGATTGTGTTTTTTTTCAATCGTGGACGTGACGGCCACATGAATTAAGATGTAGTAAAGAATATTCTTGTATAAAATACGATAAAACGTGTAAACATTAAACGAAGAACTGAATGACTTTGAAACCAAATTTGACGAATTTTTTTTAGTCTAAAAACATGGAATATACTAATAGTGAAAGAACAAAAACCAAGGCCTTATTTTCCAATTATCTTCTTATTGATCAAAAGACTCGTAAAAAACTGATATCCAGATTTTAGTCATAAACTGTTCAAGAAACCCATTCAAATCTTAAATCGTTCAATTCTTATTTTGCCGAAAAATGGCGTATCTTCTACAAACTCGGTAATGTTCGTAATGAGTATCATTTTTGGCCTTTTTTTTTTTTTTTTTTTTTTTGTAAGAATGAAAAAAACTCAAAGTGATCGTCGAAAATCATATATCTGTAAATATTTAAAAAATACTAAGTTTGGGAACATCCTTCCATGCAGTTCTTACCTTTTTTTCTTCTGACATGGTAGAAACACGCTAGTAAACCCTGATCAACAGTTGATCTCTGCCAGTGTTTAGCCTAGCGTACGCGTTGAATATACTGAGCACAACAACTCTCTTCCTGACCTTATATACCACCTTATTAGCATTCCAGTCACACAACACGTACGCTCTCGCCACACACGAAACAAAAATTACGATATATAACACAAGATCTTTAGGCAAAATTGCTTAAAAAACTAAAAAAAGTACTTCTAAAACTATTTCATAAAGGCTATGACGTTTCTTTTTTCCTTGAAAATGAAGAATAAAAGGACGTTTTCAGACGCCCCTGTTGCTACGTGATAGGCTTGACCATATTGTTTTGGATTTAAGATAAGATAGAGGACTGGTAAGGAATACAAGACCGTCACGTCCGTCTGTTGTCGGTCATTCCAGGCATTTGAAGTATTTCCCGTTTAATTTTCAGCGTTCCCTAAACGACTCCAAGCTGTTTTAAAGCAAAGACATGGTTCATGCTATCTTTTTCCCTTAATTTACAAGTTTTGATAAATTCTAACTTTTCCAGGAAAAAAAAACCAAACAGCTGTTTTAGTTTCTTTCGATATCTGTCCAGTAAAACGTGGTTGGGAAACCAGTTTTAAAAGCGAAAAGTATTCAATTTATTATTGAAATTACACCACATTTTCCCCATTATATATTTTCTGTATCATTCAAATTAGTTCGATTCGATTTATATCCAATTTACAAAGCGCTTTGAGATATCAAAACCACTCTCACTGAACGTGACTGAAGCGCTTCAACCTGGTACGTGAGTAACCATACTCATTTGCATAAATATATCGTGAGCTTAGCCGCTTAGCCCAATCACATTCAATAATCATTTTAACTATCAAAGCACGACATCAGTACCGTTAACTTAAAAACGATTTACTACTATTCTAGTCAAAAGATCCGTGGGATTTTTTTCTTTTTTTTTGGTGACTGAGAAAAGAAAATTTCGATCCCCAAAATATTTCCAGGAATTTTTACTATTTTTGAATTTAGAGTAAATCGCGTGAATTTATATTTATTTCCTATAAATCAGGTTGATACTGAAAGTGTTTACTCTAGTTTTTTAGCTGCTGTAACTACCACGTACCTACCAGTACGAAACTTCGATATTTTCAAAGGTTTTTCTTGGAATGTTTTAAGTTTCGTTCTTGAGATGAGAGCAAGACAGAGCAAGACAGAAATGTTTTATTTCGTTTATTCACGTTTATTTTGTACGACACAGGCTCATGTGAGATGTTAAGCAGCATAAGCATGTCACATACTAAAGACCTTGACAGGCAATCTCGAGAACAAACTGCGAATATCGTTYTGTTAATTAAGTTAGCCATGCCCTGACTTTGTTGACTAAAGCACAGTTCCCCCGTTTCCCTTATTAATACTGCACATACCCTTATTTCAATAAAGTTAGTCACCTGAAAAGCTATAAAGGTGAGGCCTACAAGGATTATGGGTAGATTCATTTTACACGTTCAACCGCTTGGTAACTGCTCATGGACTTGAGAATCTTTTACCGGTTACAGTCTCACCTCTTCTGAGCATCATCGCTGCAGTTTGTATTAAAAAAGCTTTGTATATATATGCTTTTTTGATATGAAAAGTTTCCCATGATGCTCAGTGATCTCAGCTTTCTAGGTTTTTGGTGACTAACTTTATTGAAATAAGTGTATTTCGGAAAATTACTGCAAAGGGTCTGTGACGATTAGATATGCTAAAAAAAGGAAAGTAAAAAAAATAAATAAAAAAAGGAATGAAACGTATATTAATATATACTATGATCAAGAGAATATTTTCTTGCTATAATATATAAATCTTCATATTTGCGCTGACACCTGGCCAACACAGGGAGCCCAAATCTGATTAAATTTGATGGAAATCATTTTAGATACTTTCGAAAACACTTTATGAGGTGATTTAATGAAAGTAATATTAGAATAAAATTAGATTAATATCAACATTATATTCTTGCGAAGTGGAGCCCAATCCCCTTTCGATCTTGCTCGTCCACATACAAAGTCTTCCCAGACTTCAGACACAATGTGATCAACTTATCATATAACATTATATACATCAACCTCTTCTTGGGATCGAGGGTAAGGCCTACATTATAATAAGCCCCTTGACCAGGCCAAACATCGCTCACAGCTTCAAAGGTACCGGCTGTGGGATTCATGTCACCCAACAAAGCCTTGTACTTGGGGCCTTCGTACCCTGTTGAAGGGGTTTGCAAGAAACCGTAGAGCTTTTTAGTAGAATCTTCGTACAAAAGTCCACCAATACTATAGTTAGTATATACAGGGGATACCTCTGTTTTCTGGCTTTTAAAATCAAGCGTTACCAGAGTGTAGTTTGGAGGGTCGGAATGTGGAATAACAGTGTTGAAAAAGAACCGTTTTCCAGTCATATCTAGAGTCGTGGCATAATATGGGAAGTTCCCGTGGGATGATGTAAAGAGTGTTGACGTTTTCCTAGCTTCAAAGTCAATCATTACGAGTTTTCTGTTCCGTTCACCCGAAGTGTCTAAAAGACCCACAAGATTTCCTGTCTTCTCGTCACAATGTTGATATTTCAACCTGCCGTCGAATTTCATTGTCCCAATGACCTTTCTTCTTCTCACGTCTACAGCGACGAGTTTGTTTTCATTCTTATCATCCACTAACACGTAGAATACCCTAGTTGTTGAGCAATAAGCTGTGAAGAAAGACGGTATAAACCATGTAGAATATGAGTAATCAGTGATGTTGGGTATAAATGTGTTCCAGGTACGGTTGTGTAGAGAATAAGATACCACATCAATGACCTGTGGTCCAAGATGCAGGCCATTTATTCCCAGCAGAACTTTGTGCTCTTTCGCTTCACTTTCTTGAAATCCACCAGCAAAAGCTATCGCTATACAATATAAGATTATCACCACGCACACTTCGATACAGTGAGTCTTCGCCATTTTATTGCAGTATTGGAGTTCAAGTAGATCACATGGTTTTAGATGTGTCCATTCATGTTCTTTGTCAGATTAATTACGGGGGTCACCACGAACTGAAATCCCCGAATCCGCTCGCCTTGATTTTCTTCTTCACGGGTTGGTCTAGTGAATCGTCATCCTGGCTTGACTTCCTACAAAGATCAAGGAAAGGAATAGAAAGCGTCAATATGAGAGTATTACATTCTTCAAACTAAGAATGATCTGGGAGCACTGAGAGGAACCACAGGATATCCGAACCGCGGTGGTCAGGCTTAGATCGGAAAATATAGCAGAGTAGCTTGCGCAAGACTAACAGTGAAGGGAGAGCTTGGACTTAAGAAATAGTGTATAGACCTTGAGCTGAGTTCCGAGAAGAATTGTTCTGGGGGACAAGAGAATAGATGTTTTTTGCATAAGAAAAGACGGCCTATTGTTTTGTCCCCAGAACAATTCCTCCAAGAAATCAATGCAAGGAGTCTATATTAGCAAAACGGTGGAGGCTATAAACCTTCCCACCTCCGCAGTCCCTGCTTCACTAACATCTCTCGCCGCTCACGCTGTATGTTGTCGTAGGTTCAGTACCTAGACAGGCCATCATACACGAATCTGTTGTGAAAGAACACAGCAGTGACAATGTCTATTTTGATTATTTTTGGCCCGTAACATCTTACCCTGCTTTTCGAGGTATGTATTTACCAACAGCACCTGGACGATGAACTTTTGGACCGCTTTCAGCTGCGGCTCTTTTTCTTGCTTTATCAGCTTCTTCCTTTAATACAACGAAATCTAGAGGGTTATTTTCTCCTCTGAGTGGGAAAATTAGGTATTGACTTGCAGTATTGAAATGGATTCCCATTAGAGCAGCTTTTACATGAGTGGGAAACATACGGTACTGATTTAAAGAACGCACAAGGTACGACATTGAAAGGGCTTCCCATAAGAATGGTTATAGCATGAGTGGGAAACATACGGTACTGATTTACAGCACGCGTACAACATGGCGTAACATTGGAATGGCTTTCCATTGACTTCGTGCAACTCATCCAATCACAATGCGTTATTACGGTTGCAATAAAACAAGGTGAAACTACAATGTGCGACAGGTCGTAAGAATTTGTCGTTTTATTTCCGACTCAAATCTGGGATAAAAACAAAACTTTTAGCTACCTGACGCTGTCTTTCTGCTTCTGCTTCTTTTTCTTTTTCCAGTCTCAGCTGAAATGAGATAAAAGAAATATCGAATTTCTATTAAAGTTCTCATAGCTTTAAAATAGGATACTATGGATACAAAGAATGGAAGATAATTTTCCCGTCGTTGAGATTCATGCGCATGGCACTTAAAGGGCTGAAAGAACTTAACGACAAAAACGATTCATTTGCAGCTCAAGAATAATGGTCTAATGTTTTCTTAGAATTACTTACAACTTCGTCCACCTCAGCAAATGGGTCCGTAAACACCACTGTTTTGAGAATTTTTATGGTCTCCTGTGAACGAGAAGGAAATATCGTCAAGAGTTTGTTGTTGCTATAGTAACAGAGCAGTTCTGTACATGGAGAAAATCCCTCGAATCAAGGAATGGATGATTCCCATCATCGTACATAAAAGATACCTTCGGTCGGTCTTTGTCATCTGTTTCGACCTTTTCCATCGCGCTAAGGGTTTCAAGTCCTCCTACAAGCCTGTGAATTGCAATCAAAGAATAAACAAATGATACAAGAAAAATGTGTAAGATAAAAAAGAGGAACTGTAAATGAAATGGAAAAGAGAAAATTAATAATGATAAACTTACTTCCCAAAAATTGAGTGCTTTCGATCCAAATGGCGGCAAGATCTATAAGTTATGAAACTAAAAAGAAGAAAAAGAAGGAATAAGAATTTCTTTAGAATACATCTTGTTCTCAAGGTTTTCTCAAGGTTATGCATCCAAACTTGACAGGCAGCAAAATTGAAAAAAGCCAGAAAGGTATTATGGCAAGTTTATTTGAATGAATTTGCAACTGTAAGGAAAAAAGTTAGCTATATTCAAAGGCATTCAAAAACTTTGGTTTACAATTGAGACTTGTTTGTGTTGGTTCCTGAGTTGGCCATGCTGAGAACACCACGACCTGAAGATAAAAAAAGAAAAATATTATGGAACAAATGGTCAGCAGGATCATGAATACATACCAGTATCGACGGGTGACAACAGATGTCATAGTATAGACATTACCTTGATGAACCAGGTTCGGCTTGAACTCATCTTTGAAGGCGCCACCCCATGCTGACTCTCCACCTAACAACAAATAAGACAATTATCAATTAATCAGGGAGGCAGGCATTGATGGATGGATGGAAGGACAAATGGAAGGACAAATGAAAGGAAAGATGAATGGAAGGACAGATAAAAGGAAGAACTGAAGGAAAGAAGGAGTGGTGGATGGAAGGATGGAGGAAGGAATGGATGGATGGATAGACTCACCTTTCCCTGTTCCTGTTGGATCTCCACCTTGTATCTAAAATAAAACATTGATATTATACTCATAACATAGCCTGAACATACAGTAACACTTATGCTTCATAAGATTCACGAAATAATTCTAAATTCAGTGGAAAATAACTTACCATAAAATTCTTTATGGATCTGTGGAAGACTGTGAAAATAATTTGGAATATCAGTATCAGGAAATAAAAAACTCAAGAACCAAATACCACCAACACCATAAGAAAATTTATTAAAACAATTAAATATATTGTTATTAATTATTACTTGTATTATCGTAGTATCCTTTTTTGCATAACTTCAGGAAATTTTCACAAGTTTTTGGAACCTTCAAAAAGATAAAAGATGAAACATTAAACAACTTTGGAAATCCTTTAGTGATTGTCCCTCTACATCCCCCGCCCCTCCATGGTGGGGCAAAAAATGGTTCCTGAGTCACTCTCTCCACAATCTCGTACCCAGAGCCCACGTTCCTCATGGTCAATGCTTCATGGTTCTACTGTAGATCTCACTGAAAAGCACTGGAGGTGTTCTTGAACACTCTTACTTTTATTTTATTTTTTGTTCAAAAAAAAGACATCCTGAACTTGGCCAACTAGGGTGGTGTGAATAATTTTCTGTTGTGTACAACTCACTTGTACAAGACTCATAAAGCGGTACCCATAAAGCACCTTCAAAAGTATAATGTTTTCCCCTTTCAAACCATGGGTCATTCTCTTGAAGTTTCTTTGTTTGAATTGTATCTATATTCATGCGTCTTCTCATGTGCAACCATTAAACAAAGAAATGATACTCTAGGGAATGACCTGTGGTCTGAAATGGGAAAACGTTACGCCCAAGATAAAGARGTTTATACGAACCATATCACAGTGCAGTTCCATGTTAAGGTCTCCATGAGTTGTTTGTATCCTTACATAACCTTTAATAAAATAATGTTCATTACTCATTGAATTAACCAGTAATAGATGGATACATGAAATGTATGTTTTTATACCTTTCTTTTTCACTTCTCGATATCTGACAACATCTTTTTCCACAGCAGCTGTTATCAAACATAAGAATTAATTAATCAGTGGCTGTATTTTTGTATGGTATTTTGGAGGGAGAATTTTAATACAGCATGCATAATGAGAAGTGTAAATAAGTTTGAGAATTATTCTTACTGAACACTAAATTTATTCAAATATTATAATCTAACTTATTAAACTCATTAATAATTCACRAGGAAAACACAACAGAAATCACGACCGTGAAGAGTTTTGTAAATCAGATACAGAATCCTGTTCATTTGAAACTTTAAGATGGATTTTCTTGGCCAGATTCACTTTTATCTTGAAAATTTGAGCGAAACACAAAGGAACTATCCTAGACGTTTGATAAGCAATCTACAGTATTTGTGTCCTTGTTGTATCCAATATATAAACTCTCGGCTACGCCTTGAGTTTGTATATCAGATACAACAAGGCCACTCATACTGTATATATTACTAAAAGGTTTCGTGGAGATAGGAAAAAGAACAACTCTCGAATCAAGGGAGTGACCTACCAAACTGTACTTGCATATTATGCAAAGCACAGTAATTAAACCAAGATTGAGAGGTAACTGCATTACCCTACCTTGTATCTCGTACATACCTGTGACTTGCTGGGTAACTCTGTCACTTGCTGTTGACGTGAAGGATTGTGCAACTGCTCCAGTAGAAAAATGAGCCTTCAAAAGAAATTTATTTCATTAAAAAATGCATGACAATAAGTGCAAACGTTCATGGAACAAATGTATTGTGATAATGCTTTGTTTTGAAAAGCATTGATCTCAATATCTCAAAATTAATAAAGTCATCGGTACAAAGCATGTAAATAATTCTGCATCATTTGCTGTTTCACCTCATATAAAATCCACTCTTATTTCAATGCCCGGGGGGTACTCCCCTATATTTGCTATACGGGTACATGCCGCCAAACAGGGTATGGTTTTCAGCGATTCTACTCTGGAACAGGGTATATAAAATCGCGCTCCCTCTGGGACAGGGTATATGAAATCACACTCTCCCTTCTCTGGAACAGGGTATCATTTTCACACTACCGGAACAGGGTATTATTTTCAGCAATCTTGCTCTGGAACAGGGTACGAATTTCAGCGATTTTACTCTGGAACAGGGTCAGGGTTCAGTGGGCTCAGCGGCACATCCCTACCCTAAACGGGCAAGAATACCCCCCCGGGTTTCCATGACTGTCATTCTATTCTACTCACTGCATTTCTATCAGTTACTAATTCCTTTTTCTCAGCCTGTTTCTTTTCCTTAAAAAAATAAAATAAAACATGAGATTATTGCAATAAAATGTTTGAAAACTTGATAAAAAGAGGAAGGAGACAGAAAGTAACATGTACTGGTTCCTTGTACGTCTTTTCCAGTTCACTCAGCACACTTTCAGTCTCTTTGTTTGCTTTATTGAGATAAAATTTGGGGTCTCTCATTGCTCTTTCTTCATCTGGAATAAATAAAAATCATACAATAAACATGTTACCATGGTTCAAGAGGTGCTTAGTGGGGGGGAGAACGGCGAAGGAGAGAGAGAAGGGAAGAAGGAGAGAGAGAAGGAAAAAAGGAAAGTGCTTTCTTTTCCCCTTCTCTCTCTTCCTTTTTGCCCTTATCCCCACCTCTAAGTGCCTCAGAAACCAGGGTATAAACATGTGAGAAATAACATAACATTTGGAATTAACAACTGCTTGCAAAGAACAATAACTGAGTAATAACTACAAGTCCAAACCTTTGTCAGGAACCTTAAGATTATTCCTTTGATGATGAAATGCCGAAATATTAAACTTTTCCAAATTCTTGGGGTCCTTCAAAAAAATAAAAGTAAAATGCAATCAACAATCTTGTGAGAGAGAAATATATAACTAGGCCCCCAGGAATCAAAGAATATGACTCTCAACTCACATGTTAGTTTTTACAGAGGGAGGAACAAACCCTCGTATAGGGAGAGAACAATACACCAAACAACACTGTGTCACATCAACAGGAATGGAACCTGCGGCAAACCCAACACGTACATGTAGGACCCCCAAGCATCACCCTTGCTACCCTAAAGAAGCACAAAGCTACTGTAGCTGGTAAAGGATTGTACTTGTAAGTAACTGTTTTTTAAAATATTATAACTGGTTGCCTTAGGCTTGGTGAAGGAAGTCAAGGACAGTTTTATAGCCATACCTGTAGTGTTATGATGTCCTTCCTAGTAAATGGCTCATCTGTGATCAAATCTTTGAAATTTTTGGCTTTTAAGTTTAATTCTTCCACAGCCTGAGTAAAAACACATATCAAATTTTTTTATACCTCCAAGTCTTATTGATTATTTCTAAAATTTCAAAATAAAATGTATATTTATAGAGGCTTTGCATCACCATGTAACGGCAGCCATGTTAAATAGCAGGAACAATACAATTTTTTTACAAGAAAGAATTCAATTCCCGAGACCAAAGGTAATTTATTGTTCTGCC